CATAAATGGACTCCTTGTCCTGGCTCCTCACCTGCTGAGTGTGGAGCCCAAGGGTAGACTGTGGCTGCTTCCTGGGGATATCTGAGTCTGTACCCTGTCTTTAGGGTCATCCTTTGGCTAAGGGAAGTACCCAAAAAGGCCACCAGGTGGTGCTGTCGAACCACAGAGCAACGTGGTTGAACTGCTGGAAACCTGCATTCTATGCTAGGCTCTGCCATTCCTTAGCTGTGTGGCCTTGGACCTCAGTTTCCTCACCTGTAAAATGGGATTGGACTGGACTAATGAAAACAAAAACTTTTAAGACGAATTGACCTGATCTGAGTTTTTGCTCCACCAGAGACACATTATGACTTACCATGGTCCCTAGGCATTGTGCCTTCACTCATCCCTTCCTCCACAAAAAAATATCAAAAAGTATATTTTACAACTATGTTGGTATAAATACAAATATATTAATATTATATATAAACTTTTTACTTCAACCTAAAATTTTATCTTATTCCTTCTTATTCTGAAAGAAAACATTTCCATGGCCCCCAAAAGTATTCTGAACCCTAGGCTCTGTGCCTACGGTGCCTCATGGAAGAATCACTCTGGGCTCCACTACTTACCAGCTGTGTGACTATGGGCAGGTTGTTTAACTTCTCTGGGCCTCAGTTTCCTCATTTATAAAGTGGAGATGACAACAGACCCTACCCTTTTAGTGCCATGGTTGGAATTTAGTGAGAGAGTGTATGCCATGACTTCTTAGAGCAAGCTCTAGCCAATGGAAGCTATTATTATTATCATTATTAATTATCTTCTTTAAGGATATTTTCTTTTTCTGATGTTTATTTTTGAGAGAGAGAGAGAAAGAGAGAGAACAAGCAGTGGAGGGGCAGGGAGAGAGGGAGACACAGAATCCAAAGCAAGCTCCAGGCACAGAGCCCGATGTGAGGCTCTAACCCATGAACCATGAGATCATGACCTGAACCAAGGTTGGAGCTTCACTGCCTAAACCACCCAGGGGCCCAAAGGATATTTTCTGACTTCTATGAAACTATTAGAATATCTCAAACAAGCAAGAATCTCAAACTGTGTCAAAAAAGTAAAATGAAACTTCTAGGATATTTGATGGGGGAGTACAAGAGTTTCCCAGAGAAGAGCAAATCAGCAGAAGGAGTTTTGCTAACAACAAGCACAGATTTTTCTCCTGCCATCAGGCGACTTGTGAGGTAGGGACATGAGCTTGTACCAATCAGCGCCAGCTGGAGAATATGTGCCCGGTGGGCAGATACTTGGGGAAAGTGTGTGTGTGTGTGTGTGTGTGTGTGTGTGTGTGTGTGTGTGTTTCTGCAGCATTCATCTTAGAGAAAAGGAGATTTGCATGGAGTTTGAAAGGCTGTGAAAGCCTTAGGCCTATGGAGACAGGGATATTGTGTTTGCAGGGAAGAGGGGCAAAGAGGGAAGGGGCTCTCTAGGCTGAGGTAACATTATGTACAAAGGTCTGGGGCAGGAGGGTGGAGAGCAAATTCAAGCAACGACAGTGAGATTTACCTTTCTTTAGCTGAATTTATTTTTTTACTTTTTGTTCAAATGTTTATTTCTACTGAGAAAGAGTGTGCACCAGTGTGAGCAGGGGAGGAGCAGAGGGCGGGGGAGAGAAAATTCCAAGCAGGCTCTGCACCGTCAGTATGGAGCCCTATGCGGGACTCCATCTCACCAACCGTGAGATCATGACCTGAGCAGAAATCAAGTTGGACACTTAACTGACTGAGCCTCCCAGGCGACCCTCTTTGGTTGAATTTTAGTTCTCATATCCCGGGTGCCATCCCATTTTATATCCTTCAAACGTTGTTTGGGAAATGTGAATGCACTAGAAAAGCACTGTCAATTTTTTAATCCCCAATTTGTACCAGCAAAAATGGCTTCCTAATTTTATAAGTTAGGTGTTTCCACCTGGAAGTATTTCTTTTTTTTTTTTAATTTTTTTTTTAAATGTTTTATTTATTTCTAGGAGAGAGAGTGAGAGACAGCGTGAGCAGGGGAGGGTCAGAGAGAGAGGGAGACACAGAATCTGAGCTGGCAGTCAGCACAGAGCCCAACACGGGGCTCGAACCCACAAACCTCGAGATCATGACCTAAGCGAAAGTCGGACACTTAACCGACTAAGCCACCCTGGCGCCCCACCTAGAAGTATTTCTAAAAGAAAAATTACCCAATGTCTACTACTTTTGGCTCAAAAAAAAAAATTGTACGGATAATTTGTGAAGACTATTGCCTTCTTCTCCAAGATGGCAGAGTAGAGCCCTCTTAGATTAATCTGTAAGCAGTGACTGAGAGGACACAGCTTTGCCCTCGTATAGCTTGCAGGTTGGAGGAGGGAGGCAGGCAAGGAACAACTAGCTACCCATGGGATGAGGGTGAGGAAGCGGGCACGGAGGGCGCTGTGGGAAGATATAACTGCGGGTCCTAGAATAGACTGGGTGAAGCTAGTCAGAAAAGGCCTCTCTGATCGAATGAGATTTAAGCTGACTTCAAGGAATGAGAAATCAGCTAAGTAAACAGGGGAGTAGAACGATGGGGAGTGGGAACAGCCCGTGTAAAAGCCCAGAAGCTTGAGAGAGCACGAAGAGTTGAGGAGCTAAATGTTGTGGCCAGAATGTACGGATGATTGAAACGAACTTGGAAAGGTAAGTGAAGGCCCAGCAATACAGGGCTTTGTAGGCCATGCTAAGGACTTGGGTCTTTTTCCAGAGAGAAATAGGGAGCCATTGAGAGCTTAGCAGGGGAGCAGTGGCATAAGATTTGCATTTTAGGAGGCACACCCTGGTAGTTGCGAGGAGAACAAATTGTAGGAAGCAAGGTGGGAGTGCCCGGGCGAGTGAAGGGACTGCTGACATCATCAAACCAGAGTTGAGGACTTGGACTAGAGCAGCCCCTTTGCCCATGGCCCCAGGAGAGCCTGGCAGCTCCATCTCACCTCCATGGAGGCTTTGGGGACCAAGTGACCATTCAGCTGGAAAATGTCCCATTGTGCCAATGTTCCATTCAGGGCACTCACTGGTTCCCCCCATTTCTCAGAAGGGTCGTGTGTGTGTGTGTGTGTGCGCGCACGAGCGCACGTGCGCATGTGCATGTGTATGTGTGTGTGGAGCTGCATGCACACATCCTTGTTTCCTTGAAATTCCCTTAGTTTTGTTGAATTCAGTAGTTTTCATGACTCCTAAAGCTTGAAACCACTGGTGCCAGAGACCTGTGGGACCACAGTTATCCTTTCCTCCTTCAGGACGTGACCCGTGGAATGCTGGCTCCTCACCGTGGCCTCTGCCTTCAGGACCCTTTGGGTGGACGCCTTGATGGGGAGACTCAGCATGATGCAGGTGGAAACATCTCTCACTCCCACCCCCCCCCCCCCCCCCCCCCCCCCCGTGGCCGGGACCCTCTGCTCATCTCCAGAGGGTCTCTAGTCTGTCACCTTTTCTTTTCCTGGTTTGACAACTGTCCTTTATGCTTGCCTTCTCCAGCCCAAGGGAAAGGTGTGCACCAGGGCTGCTGAGCTGTAGAAGCCCCCTCGCCCTCTAGACCCACCCACAGAGGCAGGATGAAGGGTTCCTGTGTTTGAGGCAGGAAGGGGGTGTTGGTAAGAAAGAGAAAACAACAGGGAATGGAAGCAGAGGCATCTCCTTCCTCAAGACTCACTTGCTGAAGTACTTTTTGTGGTCGAAGATAAAGAGATGGAACCTTGGTCTGTTTCCTCATATGGCAAAAATCCAAAGCAATTACATGAGAGACGTAGGTACCCAGAGACTTAAAGTGGGCCACCTTTGACGGGGTTGAGTCCTGCTAATCAAAATACAGCCTCCACTTGTCAAAGGCTTGCTAAGCATGAGGCACACATTCAGCGTTTTACATTCATTATCTTACTGAAACGTCACCCTTGAAGTTGATTGACTTGTTATCCTCATTCTGCACATCAGAGAACGGAGGGCAAGGTGCCTGTGCTGCATCCCAGAGCTCGTAGGTGGTACAGATCAGGCTCCAAAGCCAGCCTGTCCCGTCTTCTCACTAAGCAGGGTCCGGAGAGCGAGTTTAAGATCTGGTTTCTTAATAACTAATGAAAATAAAGTTTTGTCCTCAGGTCAATTGGGAGCCTCTCAAAAATGCAGGTTCCTGGGCCCTACCCCAGACCCTCTGAGACAGACTCTGGGGCCTGGGGCCTGGGCATCAGCGGGGTGACGGGGGCCCCTGGGGTTCTGGGACACAGGCATTTCAAACCCTCTGGACAAAGCCAATGCTGGAAAGTTGTGTACAACCAAGGTGTGACTTCCTTCCCCTAAAAGGCACAGGAGTCCCCTGCCCCAGTCAGGCCAGGTGACCCAAAGGGATGGGACCGTGTCTGTGGCCCTGTTAGGTTATGACGAGTGAGAAGCCCCCTGTCCCCTCTTGCTGGGCAGATCTGGCCCACAGCGAGAGCTGGCAGATGCCCGTGGCTCCAGCAAGTTGCTCCAGTGCAGAGACAGAGGGATGGCCTGTCACCAAGGAGCCCACAGGGTGGCAAAGACCAGCCAGAGCAGTGGACAGGCTCACTTAGTGCCTGTGTGGCCCACCTTCCCCTGCCTCCCCCACCGACCACAGGGCTCCTGTCCCAGCCATGCCGCTGGCCCCTGGGACGAAAGGATCAGCCTCTCCTCCAGAATAGCCTCATATGAGAACTGCTTGCTTGACCGTTTTGGACCTCGGAAACTGGAAGTTTTCCCAGGACAGTGAACCCTGCTCACAAGAGGTGACAGAAGCTTTACAACCTTACCACCTCCCCTCCCCCCCAGTTTCAATGGAAGCTCTGAGGTTAATTGGATATTTGGGGCAAAATGGTTTTCCCATATAAGCAGGACCCTTCTGATTTAATTCCTTCGGTCAGATGAAACCACATTTCAAAACTCAGCCTTATGGTCTCTTTTTCTAATATCAAAAGTCACATGGTCTCCGATATATTAAGGAAAATCAGCAAGAAGCAGAACCATGCACAATACACTCTATATTTCCAGGTTACATGTGGTGCTTATTTATGCACAGATTCTCTTGGGAGGGAGCATAAACTGGTAAGAGGGGGTTGCTTCTGAGGCAGGAAAAGAGTGGGTGGGCAGGGCAGCATTTCTTGCCTCCACTTATTCTTCAGTACTGCTGGCATATTTAGCCACGTTCAGGTACCACTTGAACAAAAGCAATGCACAGGAAAGCAAAGTAAAACAAGCAACAATGGTCGCCATGGATACAGGTAACATGGTGCGGGCAGGAGTCCTCCGTAACTCTTCGGTTGCAGGATGATAACAAAATCCTGAGCCTCTGCCAGCCAGCTGGCCTTCTGGAAGCCCAGGAGGAGGGAGGCTTGGGGCCGCGCAGCGGAGGGGCGGTCATGCTGCGCACACAGAGCAAGGTGGGATGGAGGTGAGGCTGACATGTTACGCCAGAAAATACAGACCCTCGTGGGCATCCGAAAACTCTGGAGCTCTCTCCAGATGGTGGGTTGAGCCCCCCCAGGATATGGAAGCGGGAGTGGGACATGCTAGTGGGCTGTGGTCAGAATCGAATTTCAAAGGATGGCACTGGCAGTTACTGGGCTGGCTCAGTCGGAGGATAATTTGGAGGCAGGGAGGCCAGGTGGGATGGCCTTCATTCTTCATCCCTGTGAGATGTGATCACCATCCTGACCTTGGACAGGAGGGGACAGGTTCCTCAAACAGATAATTGCCCAAATCATAGGGTGTGGTTGGGGCCGTGGCCTCTCTGGTCATTTCCCGTGGCGTAGGGTCCCTTTGTGAAGACTGAAAACTGACATGCTCCTCCCCCTGCAGCCTCTTTCAGGACAGGGCTGAGCAGAGGCACTGACGCTGATTGGGGTCCTGGCTCGGGATGTGAAGCCTATCCTTTTGAACTACAAAGGCCCCCAGTTTCCTTTTAGGGAAGTCGGGGAGGGATGAGCACAAGAAGGTAAGAGAAGACTGCCCTCCCAATTTGACTCAAGTCAGATTAAATTCAAGTTGAAAAATGAAAGCAGTTGGACCAGTCTTGTTTCCTGAGTGCAAGCAGCAGTTCATACCCATTAGAGCTGTTTTCTTTAGAGGCAAGAAATGGTTAATATAGTGGCACTGCTGTATCTAGGAGGGACGGGTCTTTTTCTTCCTTGGAGAGAGAGATTTTTTGCTGTTGGTGAAGGCCCTTGAAAACTGTAGTTTAAATTCAACTGGAAAGTGGTCGCTGACATCCAAGGCCTGTAAAGGGAAAAAGGAGATGCATTTGGGGATGAGTCGACTCTCACTTTAGTGCTGAACAAATTCAGGCTCAGCGTGGGAAGACAAAGGGGCTAAAGTCACCCCACAGAACACACAGTGGTGACATCATCCCTGCACCAGCTCAGTCAGAAACTGAGGCAGGTCCTCAAGTCACAGAATCATGGACTTTGAGACTCCAGCCTCAAAGGGTGACACCAACCCATCTTCCCAGGACAGTGGCACAGGAAGACATGACGGCAGCCGTACCTCCTCTTCCGTCAACCCATAAGCTTTCTGGAAGTCAAAGGTGCTGTTTGATTTGCGAACAACAGAGTTGACAATGTCTTGTCCTCGAAGCACGATCCTGGAGACGGGGAGGGAGGACAGGCACATTAATCCACCTTGTTGATTTCCGAGACAAACCATATTTCCTGCTTGACATCTGGAATGAACTGAGCACCCTGGCCCTTTCTTCTGATGTTCAAAATCCAGACCTTTAGGACAGTGCCTAAGACTGGGATACGGGATCAGCCTCTGCCAGGGCCCTGTGGGCACCAAAACAGAGTGTCCCTGTGTGCAGGTAGCCCTGAGGGTGGAGGAGAAGATCTTATGTGATACGCGGGCACCGCACCGTGTACCAATGACTTGCTTACTGGGAATATTTTTTCCTTCGTGGTTATTTTTCACTCTTCTTCATTCAGTTATAGAGAAAGGTACTGGCTTATCTTTAATAAGCCCCAAAGTTCCCATTTGGACCAAGACAGAAAAGGCTGGAATCAGCAAGCATTCTGCAAGCAAGAGAATTAAGGTAGAATTTAACATCGTTTGGTTTTCACGGGGCTTATTTTTAGCCATTTTCAACTTACGACAAAGGATGTTGTTTTTTACCTTAGCATGAAATTTCATGATGATTTATTTCATAAGAAAGGAATGCATTTAAAGACAAATACAGACAAAAGCCATAGTACAGTTGCTTTGCAGCGATAGCAAACACTAGGAATACGGTAGCTTAAGCGAGTTTGGGAAGCGTGGACTCCAACGTATCCCAGGTGGAGTGGTGTAGTTGAGGTCTGTGTGGCCCCAACCGACTGACTGAACAGGGACAAGGTGAGTCAAACTGCCAATTCATGCCTCTGCACCAAACTTTCCCTGATTCCGACCAGCATGCTGATTTGGTTTCCTGTGTTTGCTACCAATGCCACGAGGGTTACCTTTGAACTCAATCCACAAGTAAAGTCTTCAGCTTTGGTTGGAGATTTCTTAAAGCCATCCTTCAGACCCACAGGGTAGAGAGCAACCTTGTGAAGACCCCCCCCATTTCTGACTTCTGCATACATGTGTGGACAGGTCAGCTGGTCATTGAGGTCTCCCTCAATGTGTCCACGCACTGGCCAGCTCTTGACACCTTTTGTGTCCAGCAGAGCACAGATCATGGGAAGTGTTCGATAAATACTGGGACACAGAACAAAGACTGGAACAGGGACACCTGGGTGGCTCAGTCGGTTAAGCATCTGACTTCGGCTCAGGTCATGATCTCATGGTTCGTGGGTTCGAGCCCCGCATCAGGCTCTGTGCTGACAGCCAGCTCAGAGCCTGGAGCCTGTTTCAGATTCTGTGTCTCCCTTTCTCTCTGACCCTCCCCTGCTCACGCTCTCTCTCTCTCTCTCTCTCTCTTTCTCTCTCTCTCTCAGAAATAAATAAAACATTAAAAAAATTTTAAAAAAGAACAAAGACAGGAATTGAGACCATTTCACTTTACTCCTCTTGTTAGAAATTTACATGCCATTTAAAAAACCCTAAAATATATATTCTGGTACAGAAAACATAGAAAATTCAGAGCAGCAAAATGAGAAATTTTAAAAAATCACATGTGATCCTGCCATGCTTTGGCAGATACATGTGTAAAGCTGAGGTTCTTTCGGTAAACACCTTTTTTAAACCTTTTGCCCCACTCAATCTTTTGTGGTGATCTGTCCCTGTGATTCACTGTGCTTCTGCTTCATTATTTTCAATCACCTCCCTCTTGTTGGCTAGGGGACGCAGAAGGGACTTGACTTGCCCACGGTCAGCACACAACTGGCACATGTGAGTAGGCAGGTGGGGGAACGGGCTGGTGGGTGAGTGGCCGACTCGAGCCAGCCTTGCAGGCAAGCCGTCCAAGTGAGAGAGCGGAGGCAGGCACCCGCGAGCTCAGCCTCCTGTGACCCTCCTTGATTCCGCTTTCCCCAGCGCTAGAGCTGTTTCCACTCTTGAGCGCTGGGGCAGTGACTTCCGCAAAGGACACACCAGCCTAAAAGCTCCAAGAGGAACAATGGAGGTCATGGGATGGAAATGAAAGCCAGACCTCAAAACTAGAGAAGTGAGAACAGCTGTCTTCTGGCAGAAGCCGGGTGATGCTCCCTCGGAGGCCAGCTGAGCTCTGGGAACTGCGGCCACCGCAGGGTCCCTGCCTGCGGCCTCTGCTGTGGATGGGAAGACTGTGAACACGCACATGATTCAAGTGCTTCCCCCACCTCCCAGTTTAAGAAACAAAAGTGAGAGCTGATTGAATTCCCCGGGGAGACTTCACAAATACGAGAGAGAATGTTATCATTTACCTTTTTTTTTTTTTAATGCAATCTCTACACCCCATGTGGGGCTTGAACTTGCACCCTGGGATCAAGAGCTCTACTTGCTCTACTGACTGAGCCAACTGGGTGCCCCGAGAATGCTATTATTTAAAGGTATGTGTTTGCATTTAGGAATATGTAGCAAAAGTATTTTATTTCTTTTTTAACATTTTATTTATTTTTGAGAGACAGAGCACAAGCAGAGGAGGGGCAGAGAAAGACAGAGACAGAATTGGAAGCAGGCTCCAGACTCTGAGGTGTTAGCACAGAGCCCAATGTGTGGCTTGAACCCATCTACCGTGAGATCGTGACCTGACCCCATGAACCTGTGAGATCATGACCTGAGCCGAAGTCAGAGGCTTAACTGACTGAGCTGCCCAGGTGCCCTTGTAACAAAAGTTTTAAAAGAGTAAATACCCTGGACGCCTGGGTGGCTCAGTTGGTTAAGCCTCTGACTTCGACTCAGGTCATGATCTCACAGTTTATGAGTTTGAGCCCTGGTCCAGGGGAGCACGAGCTCTGCTCTAGGTGAGCCTGCTTCTCTCTCTCCCTCTCTCTCTCTCCTTGGTGCCCTCTCTCTCTCTCTCAAAAACAAGTAAATACCCTTTCACCTTTCACTAACTGGTCTCATTTTTAGTTTTATCCTGGGGAACTCATAAATAAATGCACAAAGTGCATGTGTACAATGTCCACTTCAGCAATGCTTCTACTAGGAAACTCTTGGTCAGTGATAGGGGATTTGAGTGACTACATTGTGGTATGTCTTTGTGATGAAATAATTAACAGCCAGTGAACGTTGGGAATGCTTCCCATATGCCAGGCATCGTGTGAGAAGACATATACTACTTCATCTAATCTTCGTGGCTCCATGAATGAGGCATGACTACAATCTCCATTTTACAGGTGAGGAAGCAAAGACACCGATATACACACAGACATATAAAGTGGTAGGGGCAGGATTTGAACCCAGACCTGTCTGACACCAAAGCCTGCACTAGCCACAGTTAAGCTACAATGCTCAGGGCTCCCAGACACGGCCATGCAGGTTGCACACTGCACAAGTACCCAGTGGCCAGGCCTGAAGTCTAATTGATAAGCCAGGTTCTTCCTCTGCCCAGAACAGGCGCCTTTCCTGAGGCCGCTGCACCCAGGCAGGTGCGTCCTACCTGTCATATGCACAGCTGGTGCTCTTCTTGACTGTGGTGTCCTCTTGGTCCCCTATTAGCCAAACAAACCCGAGGTCCGTCCTCAAGCGGATGTTCTTCCAGGCCTTCTTGGGGACATAGCTACAGCCAGCGTTGAAGTCACCCATGAAAATGAAATTCTGAAAGACATTGTTTGGAGCCATCACCATGTATGTTTTATTGTCGATGCTTTTGCTCAGACCTTCTAGCAATGGCCCCCCTCCCATGCTCAGTAAACAATGGGTTCTGTTATGAGCAAAATTGTGCTCTCCCCCCACTCCCACAAATTCATATACTGAAGTCCTAACTAACACAGTACCTTAAAATGTGGCTGTATGTGGAGAGAGGGCCTTGACAGAGGTGACTAAGGTAAAATAAGGTTACATGGGTGGCCCCAATCCAATGCGGCAGGTGTCCTCATAAGAGATTGAGACACAAAGAGACACAGAAGGAAGACCAAGGGCAAAAGCTTCAGGAGAAACCAGCCTCTTGGCACCTTGACCTTGGACATACAAGCTTCTAGAGCTGTGTATACACTTCTGTTGTTTAAGTCACCCAGTCTTTGGCAGCACTGGCAAAGTAATACAGGGTCTTTCTTTCTTTCTTTCTTTCTTTCTTTCTTTCTTTCTTTCTTTCTTTTTGGTTTTTAAAGTTTAAAACTGAGTCACAGTTTTGATGAGTATTTGACAGGTGAGAATGTACAAGGGAAGGTGTTCTCGCTATGAAGGAGGTTGTCTGCTCTGGCCGTTCCCTCCCGTTCTTAGTCACTGCGTCCCTGTAATCCGGCATGCGGACTTGGGTGGGGGTAAAAGAATCCAGCTCATTCATTCCCTCAGACCTTTCTGGCCCAAACTACCGTAGAGGATAAGCATATCTATGAATCAACGCTTTTTGTTTCCAAGCAGGAAAAATGAATTCGGGTGGTTTATCTGACAGCTTTGGCCCCATGCTTTCTCTTCTATTGTTTGGACACTGGGAGCTCGAACTCGTTCCTGTGGAAATTCTGTCTACTGAGGAAGTAGGAAGAGCCTGACAGGAAGGAGGTGACAGTGAGTTGTCCACCTTTGCCCTGCGGCCATCAGCAGAACCTCCTGTCTTAGAAGTGTTTTTCCCTTCAGGGCGCTTGGAACAGAATTTTAATATTCCTCAATCCGGAGGAAGTGTCAGATTTCCTTGTTGGTGCTGTTGTTTGGGGCAGTTGCTGACTTTAGAGTTTTCTTCAAAAACATTTTATTTTGACCCCAGAGATCATGGTTTTTTCCCTGAGATTGATGGGCGCGCTCGAGGACGGAATGTCATCCTTAATCTGAGTGACCACCAGCTCCTATTGTTATAGACACGATTTACTGAGCATGCAGTCAAGGCCAAGCGTGAAGTGTTTCATAGAGTTTAAATCAAATCTCACAATAAACACTAGAAGGTGGAAGGGAAACAGGATAGAGGGATAAAGCGACCAGCTCTAGGCCAATCAACGTATTGGCTCAAGTGGCAAAGTCAGGAATTAAATCCTGATCTGTCTCACTTGAAGGACCCTCCCCACAAGACTGCCCTCTTGTTCACTCCTGTGCCCTGAGGCCTCCCTAGTGCCTGACCTGTAACGGATGCCCCATAAATTCTTGTTGTGTGAGTGAATGGATTCAAAGTTTTAGGAAAGAACGAGTCTCTCTCTTGCCTGTTTACAAATAAGCAACGAATTACACGCCTGGTGCTCTCTGTGTCCTAGCTCTGTGTCACTTTCCTTGACTCATTTTGCACTTTGAAGAGTGGAACTGAGGAGTAGGAAGGGGCGATCACTGGAGTCACATCCCAAAGGGAGGAAAGAGGAATGAACACTTCCAGTTTGCCAAGAGCTTTCAGAGACCCTCACAGTCACAGCGGGGGACATCCCTGTTTTCCAGATGAGGAAACAATCGAGGTCGCGAAGGATGGTGGATGTATTCCCTTTCTGTGAGATTGGGGAACCACTCTCCTCCTTCACCTCAGTCTGTGAGGTTGGGCTGAAGCTCACACTGATTTAACGAATCAGAGCTTCTTAGCCACCTGAACACCGTGGTTGGTTCAGGGATGCATGAGTGACCCAATCAGGGCCAATGGGACCCAATCCTGGGACAGTTGTTGCATTGTGAGACAGAAAATTTGCCAGTGAAGCTGCTGGTGGTCATCTTGCCTTCCCAAGGGTAGAGCCCACCCAGAGGAAAGGAAGGCAAAGAGACAGAAAGACACAGGGAAGCCAAGCCCTGATTACCTTGTCTGAGCCCTGGATCCAGCTCTACCTGAACTACTCCTGGACACTTTAGTCACATAAACCAATAAATTGCTCTTCCTTTTCAAGAACCAATTTGAGAGTCTGTCACTTGCAGTGAAAGGCTCTAACATGGTGGGGGTCTGCACAGTTCCTTCCCTCTCCCTTCCCCAAAGCCCTCCTGGGTTGTCACTCATCTCTCTCTAGAATCACATTCTGCCTCTGCTAGATGGGAATTCAACAGACACAGAGGGTCATCACCTCCGCCTTCCAACGGCGTTTCACATCCACATAGACATCAGCCAGCTCATCAATTTCTTTAACGGATGTCTCAGGGGTGGTGTGCAGGGGGACAATCACGAAGTCCTTGACAGCTGAGGAATAGGAAAGAGGCAGAGGTCACATACTTCCCTGAACACTGCTGAAGGGAAACAGACTGTCCCCCTAGAAGGCTCAGCCTGCATGGTCTGGGTCCCCTCATTTCTAGAGCGTCCAGCCGGTGGCTGAGATGTGACTGTTCTTGGGACCATTAGGCCAGCATTTTCATGTTTTTTTTTTTTAATTTATTTCTGAGAGAGAGAGAGAGAGAGAGACAGTGTGAGCAGAGGAGGGTCAGAGAGAGAGGGAGACACAGAACATGAAGCAGGCTCCAGGCTCTGAGCTAGCTGTCAGCACAGAGCCCGACGCGAGGCTTGAACCCACAAACCGTGAGATCATGACCTGAGCCGAAGTTGGATGCTCAACCAGCTGAGCCACCCAGGCGCCCCTAGGCCAGCATTTTCAGTACACAAAAGCCTCTTTTCGCCCACTCACCTGCAGGGCTAAGAGAAAGCTGGTAGACGGTACTGCTTGCTGGCATTGTGGGTGTTTTTATTTTCTCATTTTTTGAAAAATTATAGTCTCTACTTTAAAAAAAATAATAAGCCAACCCTGTTTGGCTTTTGTCCTAAAGAAAAAAGCTTTTTCTAATTAAAAAAAATGGAGGCTCATCAGTTTATGCCTCTTTTGTAATCTGGAAAAAGAAGCCCTAAACATTATTTAAAAAATAAAGCCGCTTTTCGTGAAATATCTGAAAACCTCCCCCGACCAGGAGGGACAGAGAGAGCCTCGGAACGAGCCTCGCCCACGTGCCAATGGAGCTGGTGTGCTCTGAACACCTCTTCCCCGGGCTCTCCTCGTTCTGTGCCGGGGTCCCCATGCCTGCTCAGGAACTGGGGGCTGTTGGGGATCACTGCTCAGGGCACACAGTGGGGAGTCAGGACTCAGAGCCGGCAGCCTGTCTCCAGGACCCTGCCCTTACCCACCAGCCTTATTTCCCACTCTTCTCAGGCCTCCACTCTACCCCCATCCTCTCTTTGGCTCCCCGGAACACACCAACCCCTCCCTCCCATCCAAGTACTAACCAGGCCCGACCCTGCTTAGCTTCCAAGATCAGACGAGATCGGGCGCGTTCAGGGTGGTATGGCCGTAGAACACACCAACCCCTTCCTGCCTCTGAGCTTGGGTGTGCTTACTGGGACCTCTCCTCAGAAGGGCCCTTCCCCCAGTCTTCTGTAACTGGCTTCTTCAGGTCACAGCCCAATGTCACCTACAGTGGGTCCCTCACCCCACTATAGAATGCACACTGCTTTTATTTCCTTCATGTTCTGAAATTACTTGCTCTGCTCCTTGGTTTGGCCCACTGGAACCTGAGTTCTGTCTTGCTCACCCTGTTGGCTCCAGCATCTAGCATGGCACCTGGCACAGGGGAGGTGCTCAAAAATGTTTGTTGATTGAATACATGAATGAATGAATGAGTAAATGAATAAAGGGGGAAATAGATAGATGAATGGTTATCTCTATCTTTAATCTCAAATAGAGGGGACATAATGATGTTTCCTTGTACAAGATAGACAATTCCAAACGGGGTGGGGTAGGGTGCCTGGTTGGCTCAGTCAGTTAAGCAACCAACTCTTGGTCTCAGCTCAGGCCATAATCTTATGGTTTGTGAGCTCAAGCCCTGCATTGGGCTCTGCGCTGACAGCACAGAGCAGAGCCTGCTTAGGATTCTGTTTCTAGGTCTCTCTGCCTCCACCTTCCATGCCCTCCAGTTACTCTCTCTGTCTCAAAATAAATAAACTTAAAAAAAACTCTAAACAGGGCATGGCTGAAGTACTATCCTAGGGGAGGAGGGAGGGAGAAGGGTGAAAATGTGGAAGCCCAGGACAGACAGGTTTGTTTAGCAATGTTTAGCTGTGTGTAGCTGAAGACTCTCTTTGAGAAGAAATAATCACTTGGGGGCAGGGGGTGGGGTGCTCTCCAAACACTGCCCTGCCCAGCCAAGTGTGAATTGCATGCATGACAAAGGGGACTATTACACATGCTCTCTGACTTGCGTTTCTGCCCTAAATAGCCCCCACCTCTTTTTCTTCTTCTACTGGAAATTTCATCCACCTTTCTTCCATGTTTGTTTTCATGAAGTACTAATTAACCAGGGCAGGAATAGTTAACTTCATAGTTTGGGATGTTTATATTTGTGTAGCATAAGTATGGAGGTACATACTCGCAGCTCTGCATATATTTATTTGGTCATCATCTGTCTTGCCTACTATAACATAACTTCACTAGGGCAGGGGCTCTGTCCATCTCGGCCAGCACCTGGAACAGACCCTGGCATGTAGTAGGTACTTTAAAAAATGTTGGATTCTATAAGGCTCCAAACTGCAAATCAAATTAATTCTTGACTTTCCATTTAGAGATGTACTGTGGTTAAGAGTATGGACCCCCAAGATAGTGGTTTGAGTTACAGCCCTGCTCATTCATGTCAAGAGCTGCTGGGTGACCTTGGACAAGTGACTCCACCTGTTTGAACCTTAGCTTCTTCAAATGTAAAGTGGAGATAACCCTAGGTCTTACCCTGTGGGGTGTTGGCAAGGATTACGGGAACCTGGCACTAATCAGCGATCAATACTTGCTAGTGGCTTACACAGGTATAGTTGTTAGAGTTCAGGGTGCAATTGTTTGGATTTCTCTATGCCCATTAGACATTCTTAATGGCCATCTCAAGTCTAATGTCTCCCTAACAGCGCTACGTAAACCTTGGGACCCCAGCTCACATCTGGGGCTATTATCCATTCACGGGATCACAGGGAGATTATGTATAAGTGGGGTCTGTGAGTCTCACCGGTGTGGGGTGACTGGAACCAGACCACGAAAGGTTCCCTGGAAAATACATCTGTGTCTCCAGCCTGATAGTCATGGTAGAGGTAGCGTTTCTTCACAGACACTAGCTTTTCCCTAGGGGGAGAAAAAAAAAGGAAGCTCTTCCAGCTGAGTCGGTTGTCTTCTTCATTCAAGAAGCAGAGACGCGGGCACCTGTGGTTTCAATAGCCCCCCAGGCAGGCTCTTGCCCTACAAGGGATCTTTCACCCGAGAACAAGGCTCCATCCACTCTTGTCCATAGCCAGGGCCCTTTGAAAGCTGGAGATCTGAGCAGCACCACATATCTGGAGCACCCAAAGTTAATGTTCAGACTTAGAACAAATTACTGTAGGAAGAAGACGAGACTATGAAGTTTCAGAGTCAGCCATGCTGGGCAACTCAGGTTTCCATCCCTGGGCCAGGACTTGATGAGGGAGGATAAAGAACTCCTGACCCTTGTGACCAGGCAGCCACTGAGTCAGCCGACAAATTAAGGGTTTGGAAGCTGCTTGTGCTCTTTAGTTTGAAGACGCAATACTTTGCTTCAGATTCAATTTGACAGAAATTATTTTGATCAATATTGAGAACTGGTTAGAGATCAAGATTTGGTTTTGAAGAAAAGATAAGCCTTTTGATTCAATTCCCAGTCATCATTTATAAGTGAACCACATTCCAGGAAGCATAGACTATACTTACCTGTACAGAAAGGCATACTGCTCTTTATACGTGTTTCTTCCAAGGCGAGAGCTAATCACATAGTTGTACATTATGCCTCTTCTTAAATTTCTAGAAAACATAGCGATTTTATATTATGCATCTTAAAAAATAAATATTCCCCCACTGAACATTCCCCTCTCTTCACTCTGTATCCATATCACCACTGGTGTCATGGAGGAGGGCTACTCTTCCTCATTACCTTGGGGTCTAATAAAAAAGGGCCATCAGTGACTGGGAATGTGACATCTCCCAGGATCTTGACAGCCATTATCTCTTACCCCTAGATGGTGGGTACTATTGTTACTCACTTTTTATAGTTTGCAGGTGCAGAGCTGGGATTTGAACTCAGATCCTAGATACGCCAAATCCACATGCTTTGCCCTGCACCTGTGGGACATTATTGAGACCATAGAAGCTTCAGGCCAGAACCTGCTCCGTATCCCACTCTGACTCGTGGCTGGGGATGACCTCATACTTCCTGGTGGCGTAAACCTTATCAGGTCACCCTGTCCACACATGACTGTGGAACATTTATCATATGCAGAATTCCTAGTAACATTTTCATTGGACATTCACTCCTGCTCTGAAACCTCCCAAGCACTTTCTCATAAGTCCTAGAACTATGATTTCAAATCAGCTATTGTTTATGTTCTGGGGGCTGGAGATACAGTTGTGAAGTCCCATTAACTCTACCCTTCATTTACTCCGGGGAAACTTGACACTCCTTGTAATTGCCAAACCTGCTGATAACTCCACCCTGGCAGAGCCTGACCCGGTTTAACCCATTTGCCCACAAAAAGATCTAGGGCATGTCTGAGCTACAGCATATTCTCAGGTTCAGTAGCAGAAGGGGTATTTAGGGCCCAACTTAGGCCCTACAGAAATTCCTAGGACATTAAATACATGTTCTTTTTTATTTTTTTAATTTTATCTATTTTGAGACAGACAGACACACACACACACACACACAGAGAGAGAGAGAGAGAGAGAGAGAGAGAGAGAGAGAGGATCCTAAGCAGACCCCTCCGTGTCAGTGCAGAGCCCACTTGGGGCTTGATCCCATGAAACATGAGATCATGACCTAAGCCGAAACCAAGAGTCAGATATTTCACCAACTGAACATCCAGGTGCCCCTATATACATATTCTAAGGCAGATCTGTCCTGAGGAGTATGGGCATTGGATTCCACTGGACTTCCAGTTTGGCAAAGCCGGCCTTGTTCTGAATCTAGTCTGCCAGATTTGGGGCTGGCGAACTGCTTGCCATGACTCAGCTGTGACGTGACGAAGGCCCCTCCTGGCTTCCGAGGGATAAGGGGACGAACTAGCTTGCCTTTGCTTGGAATCAGTGACACAGTCTAGGGGGCTGGGACAACTGAGACCAGTTGGGGTGGAAAGACTCAATCTGGGCTGGCTGTGGGGAGGGCCCTAGGGCCCCTGCCCCCCTAAACTTCTGAAAACTGACCAGAGTCCCTCTAAGGAAGGCTCAGGAGGTTCAGAATGGGGCACCGGCTTTGGAGTCAGAAATGGCCCACGTTCAAAGGTCAGCTCCACGATTTCCTGGTTGGGTGAACTTAGGCAGGTCCCTTCTCTCTGTGCCTCAGTTTCCTCAGGTGTAAGGGAAACAGTAATAGTACCTACCCCACAAAGTTGTTGTGGGAGTGAGTAAAATAGCACACATAAATCAACTAACTGGATGCCTGGCATGTAGTTAGGGTATCGATGGCAGCTTTTACATGTGACCCTCGGGACCATCATTTGCTATCAAGACTTGCTTCCTTTTACTAGTAATAGACACCACCAGCACTTACTGGTCACTGCTACAGACCAGGCACAGCCCAACCACTCATATGCAGGAATTAATCACCACCACATTCCAGGAAGATGGGTCCCATTTTATAGACAGGGAAAATGAGGTACAAAGAGGGGGAGTAACTTGCCCAAAGTCATAGCAGTCAAAACACAAACAAAGTGGTCTGATTTGAGTGTTAGGTGCCCAACCCTTGAGCTAAACTCTCTTTTCCATCATCAAAGATCAGATCTGGAAAGAAAAGAGCTGCTGAGCCCAACTCCATATTTCCAGATGAGAATCTGAGGCCCAGAGAAAGGTGGAATCAGCCCAAGAGGCCCTCTCTGTGAAGGAGAGTCCAAGACTGTTCCTCCCGGGCCTGATGAGGCAGGGTTGACCATTCATTTATTTAAAAAAACGATGTGAGTTTTGTTAATTATAAAGTATAGGGGCGCCTGGGTGGCTCAGTCGGTTAAGCATCTGACTTCGGCTCAGGTCATGATCTCACGGTTCGTGGGTTTGAGCCCCGAGTCAGGCTCTGTGCTGACAGCTCAGAGCCTGATGCCTGCTTTCGATTCTGTATCTCCTTCTCTCTCTGCCCCTCCCCCATTCGCACTCTGTCTCTCTAAAATAAATAAATGTAAAAAAAAATTTTTTTTAAAGAAATATATAAAATAAAACGTAAATGTTCTGCATTTCTTCGCTGACCGCCTCCACAATGGCCCTCCAATCACAACACACTCCCCTGGCCCAGAAGTAACCACTATTAATGATTTGGGGAAGATCCTTCCAGTCTTTCCTCTAGGCTCAGGCAAACTCAAACACACGTTTATTCATGTATAGTCTAATGTGATAACCAAAATGAGCTGCTCTACCTACAGTTCTCAACCTGCTTCTTTCAGTGTACTACAGCCATCTTCCCATGCTGGAATATTCAGCTCTATCGTATTCTGTAGTGACCATGATTTTTAATGGCAACATAGTATTCCAGCCTGCGGGCATACATACTTCATATTTACATTCAATCTTTTTTTTATAACAGTAGTTCTCAGCTCAGCCTCTGTCTCTTTCGTTTCTCTCTCTGTCCCTGCTCCTCATCTGTTTCCTCTATTTTGCTTTATCATATTAAAACTAGCTGGTTGACAGTTTTCAAGACTTCAGCTAAAGGACTCAGAAGTGTAGGCAGTGTTGGCCATGTGACTTGGTAGTCAGGGTGAGTGCCAGCTTTCACCCTTGGCTCGGTTCCTGCGGCTTTTCAGGTGTCCTTGCACTTGACCTTGAGCCTGCAGAGGGTCCAGGGGCCCCGTCTTTACCCATTTAGTTTCTCCATCAGCATGGGACAGATAATGTTGTTGCTGTCCTTGATCTCCATCAGGAGTATGATATCACAGCGTTTGATGACCTGCAGAGACAGAATCCCCAGATGTCCACAAATAATAAAATCTTTTATTGGGCACTTACTATGTTTTAAGCATATGACTGGTGCTTTGTTAAAGTAATGAATGTCATCACTGAAATAAGTGAAGAACTTCCTCAGGTAGGTAGTATTGTTATGTCTATCGTATTTTATTAAAAATTTTATTTGTAAGTAATCTCTACACCCAACATGAGGATCAAACTCACTATTGACTGAGCCACCCAGGCTCCCCTCCCCTTTATTGTAGATGTTTATTTCTTTTTGGTTAATGTCCATTTTAAAGATGAGGAGCCTGGGCTCCAGGAAAGCCAAGTAAACTATCCAAAGTCACTCAGCTAGAAAATGGCCAAGGTAGAATGCAAATCCAGGTAATCTGAATCCAGAGCCTACGATCACATGTCCTGTATCCTGGCTTTGCTTGAATAATCAGCATAATAATAACAACAAATATTCTTAAGCTCTTAGTGAATAAGAGGTGCCAGGATGAATATGGGTATCCCAGTTCACCTGGCAACAAAATTATCATAACGAAAATTACCAGGGCTAACATTTGTTGTGAGCCTACTGTGAACCTCACCAACGCTGTGAGAGAACTATGATTATTAGCTCACTAAACATAGGAGGAAACCCGGCTCAGAGTGTTTGAGTGAAAAGTTTGAAGTCACACAGCCAGTATATATGGGAGGGTCAGGATTTGAATTTGGGTTCACATGACTACAAAGCCCACCATGCTGTTAAGGAGTATGTACTTACCCTTTGGCCTAGTTTTCCCACTTTGAGGAAGGTCTTCTATTATAAAGAAATATCTACTACTTCTCTTCCCCTAGTTTCCTCATCTATAGACTGGAATGACAGTTATTCCCTCATAGCGTTGCTAGAGGATTAAATGGGTACTTAGAACAGTGCTAGCCATTGGGAGGCACACACGAAATTATTATTGCTATTATTATTACTTGTTCAGATCAAAGAGGAAGATGCATTGCAATAGCACAACCAAAAACTGGAAACAACCTAACTATCCCCAAATAGAAAAGCATTAAATGACAGATGTCACAAACATGGCCTACGACATTATGTAGCATTAAAAGTCATGTTTTAAAAGATTAACAATATGTGAAATACTTCTAATATAAAAGCAGAATACAAAACTAATGATATATAGGGCAGTCTCCATGCTGCAAAACAGATACAGCTTTAAAATTTTTTTTAACATTTATTAATTTTTGAGAGACAGAGAATGAATGGGGGAGGGGCAGAGAGAGAGAGGGAGACACAGAGTCTGAAGCAGCTCCAGGCTCTGAGCTGTCAGCACAGAGCCTGACATGGGGCTCGAACCCATAAACCGTGAGATCATGACCTGAGCCAAAGCTGGATGCTTAACTGACTGAGCCACCCAGGCACCCTGAGATGCAGTTTTATGTATTTATTTTCATGTAGAAAAATCCCCATAAAAGGCCCTAAATGCCAATAGCTCTTATCTTCAAGGGACAGGGGAACAGCTGATATTTTGTCTTCTTTATATGCTTCTATATGTTCAAAATAGTCCATAATAGCTATTTTAACTTAATAAAATTAAGTTAGAAATTAAAATGTTTTAGTTTAAAAAATTATACCTTTCTAATTTTATTTTTTATTTTTTTAACTTTTTTTAATTTAAAAAAAGTTTAATTTTTTTTTTAAATTTATTTCTGAGAGAGAGAGACAGCATGAGCAGGGGAGAGTCAGAGAGAGAGGGAGACACAGAATCCAAAACAGGCTCCAGGCTCTGAGCTAGCTGTTAGCACAGAGCCCAACACAAGGCTCAAACCCATGAACTGTAAGATCATAACCTGAGCCCAAGTCAGCTGCCCAACCGACTGAGCCACCCAGGCACCCTATACCTTTCTAATTTTAAAAAATTAAAGTATTTTTTTTAAATAGAAATTGCTTGATGATGAAGTAATTACGCAAGAGGAGATGATGGCCAATATTTATTAAGATATGATAAATGAGGACGCCTGGGTGACCCAGTCAGTTAAGCTGAAATCCGACTCTTGATTTCAGCTCAGGTCATGATCTCACAGTTCGTGGGATTGAGCCCTGCTTCAGGCTACACATTGAGCTGCTGCACACTTAGCATGGAACCAGCTTGGGATTCTCTCTCTCTGCCCACCCCCACCCTCCATCTCTCTGCCCCACACTTGTATCTCTCTCTCTCTCTCTCTCAACCTCTCTCTCCCTCTCTCTCAAAAAAAAAAAAAAAAGATGTGACAGATGAAATTCTAATATTTAACACAAGTTAAATAAATTGTGGCTTGCATAAAGTGCCTCACATGGCATCTGGCTTTATAAGTGTTAACTCTTGTCATCGACTCATTAAATTTTTATCATAACCCTTTGATGCAAGTCCCCTTGTCACCGTTGTATAGTTGAGGACTCTGCCTCAGTGCAGTTAAGTCATCTGAACACTGTGTGAATATGAATATTGGGATCATCTACTGCAGAGCCCCGCCTGACCACTGTGCTCAGCAGCTGAGGAAGTCACCATGTCCCCCTGAGGGCTTCTCCTCAGAGACCAAGGAGCACAAGTGAATGTAACCCATGCACACAGGGTAAAAGTGCACCAGAGTTCAGACTCCCTTTCCTGAACAAAGGGTTGAGCTTTTATTTTTTCATTTTGTTTTCTTTCGGAGACAGAGACAGAGGGAGGGCACAAGTGTGTGCTCCATTGGGGGTGAGGGACAGAGAAACAGAGACAGAGAGAATGTCCCAAGCAGGCTCCATGTCCAGCCTGGAGCCCGATCCCTCAACCCTGGGATCATGACCTGAGCTGAAACCAAGAGTTGGAGGCTCAAACAACTGAGCCACCCAGGTGCCCAGAAGGGTTGAGCTTTTAGATTCCCTGTTTACAACCCTTTTGCCTCAATAACAAACATTCTGGAGCCCCACATCTCCAGCACTTACCCTAGCAGATTTCCCCTTCTCTTGGGCAGTTTCCTCTGCAGCCCTGGGAACATGGCCTATAGACGGGACTCGACCCTGCCGTGAACAGTGGCTCAAGATCTTATGACCAGAATTTTCCCGGGGATGCAACTCATAACTCTAACCAGCTGGCCCTCATCTATACACCCACCCTGAACCCATCTATTCATTCGTTTGTTTATCCATCCACTAAAATTTTATTAGGGCCCAGCTGTGTGCCAGGCAATATGCTAGGCCTTGCTCTGCTCACAACATTATGCCCAGCTCCTGGTACAGTATCTGGCATGAGTGAAACACAGAGGGGAGGGAGGGGCAGAGGGAAGGAGGGGAGGGGGGGTCATGTTGGGACCAGTTGGCCAAGTTTATAAAGCACAAATACCTTCCTGTATTTAAATCTTCTTCATGGCATTGTAAGAAAAATGAGAAGGAATTTCCTAGCCAGTCCTTTAAAAAATAATTTTGGGGGCACCTGGGAGACTCAGTCAGTTAAGTGTCCAGCTCTTGATCTCGGCTCAGGTCATGATCCTGAGGTTCGTGAGATCAAGCCCGCATCGGGCTTTACTGACAGCACAGAGCCTGCTTGGGATTCTCTCCCTCTCTTTGCTCCTCTCTCTCAAAATAAATTAACTTAAAAAAATAATTTTGTTATAATTTTCTAATTATAAAAATAATGTTGCTTATTGTAGAAAATTTGGAAAATGTAGAAAAGACTATAAAAAAAAATCACCTGATGACCAGTAAACCCACCACTCAGACACTTCTCACATGATTTCTATGCTTATACATATTTACAAAATGACATCAGAATAACTAGCCCATTAGTTGAAAATATAGGCATCAAATCAAATGGGCTTGGATTCATATCTTTGCTCTAACGCTCACCAGCTGTGTGAGCTTGAGCAAGTCACTTAAATTCCCTGAGCCTCCAGATTCCTTATCTGTAAACTGGGACAATACTCTCCTTATGGGGTTGCCATAGAGATTAAAGAACATGATGGAAATAATACATTCAGTCCAGTCTCCGGCACAGAAAAGATGCTCAGCAAACAGGGGCAATATTTATTACACGGTTTGAGTTTTTTTTTTTAACCTCATGTGACGTTGTGAGCATTTTCCTCACAGTTTTCAAATCTACCACTGATACGTGTTTTCTCTGCCCCAGTTTCAGGCCAGAAAAATAGATCCCCCCTGACTCCATCTCCTCAGAATGAGGTTCCAAAGATGAGGGCTCCCAGAAGGCCCTTCCACGCCTGAAACTCAAGATTTTCCTGATGCTGTTCACAGAAGGGAGGGAGTAGGGACCGAGCATGGCCAATAGTGAGGGGCCCCCAGTGAACGGTGTGGTGAGTGGGCTTGGGGAGAAGGGAAGGGACACTTTGGAGAACTCGTATGAACACTCTGGGGCCAGAGAGGGTCAGTTAGGCCTGGGTCTTAGCCCTGTTCTTTCGCTCACTTGCTCCATGTCCTCTGGGGCAATGTACTTCTCTCTGAATTCCAGTTGTCTGATCTGCAAAATGCAACCAGCGGGGTTGTGAGGCCGAACTTGATACTGCATGTTAAGGACCCCGCATAAGTAAGCAATCCCGGAATCAATTATCGTGTGCTGTGGGAGACCATGCCTCGCACGTCCACCATCTTATCCCCAGTGCGTGCCTCATAGCATCTGGAACGTGGCCTACCTTCAGTCAGTGTTTGTTGGCTGAACAGACTTTGCTCTTGAAGGACACAAACTGAAGAAGCAGACAGCAGCAGCCTTGCCCAGGCAGGGCTTGGCATCTGGAAAACTGCCCCTGGTGCCAGCCAGCAAACCCAAGGTGGAGAAGGCAGGCCTCCCTCACTCTCTAACCTCCCTGATGAAGGTCATAATGACAACAGCGTGATGAAGCTGGGCTCATCCCTGAAGTGATATATCCAGTATGGAAGAGTGGAAAAGGCACCTCCACTAATATGGTTGGGTCACATGGACTCGATCCTCACTTTTCCCCTTAACAGCTATGGAATGTGGGTAAGTCACTTCTCCTTTCTGAGTCTCTGTCTTCTCAATTACAAAGTCCGGGCAATGCCACCTATGTCATAATAAGAATATAAAATTCCTGGGGCCGCCTGGGTGGCTCAGTCAGTTAAGCATCTGACTTCAGCTCAAGTCATGATCTCATGGTTCATGGGTTCAAGCCCCATGTTGGGCTCTGTGCTGACAGCTCAGAGCCTGGAGCCTGCTTCCGATTCTGTGTCTCCCTCTGTCTCTGCCCCTCCCCTGCTTGTGCTCTCTCTCTCTCCCTCTCAAAATTAAATGAATAAACATTAAAAAAAAAAGATTATAAAATTCCTGGCCTATAGTAGGTGCTTAGACATTAGCCCCTGTAAATATTACTGTCCCGAATGCCTGGGTTTGGGTTTTATTGTATGCGCTCTCAATGGCTCTGGAAGTATTTGGGGATGGCCTCTGATTACAGGATGGTCTTGTAACAATGGGGAAGGCAAGGGGTCCTTCACAAAGACTTCTCACATGCTTGGGTTGATGTGATGGGCTGTCCATCAGTCAGCACTCTAGGACACAGCCGCTCAGGGGAGGTGCTGAGTATAAGCCCCCAATAACGGAATCACCACGGAATAAAAGATAGCCTCTTAAAACCCTGATGGCATTGCCAGGAAAGAATAGGTTAGGAAGGAAACAGGAACACAGTCGGAACCCAGGTTCCCTGGGCCCTTGTGTGAAGAAGCAGGGAAAATAGTTCCCTTGTATGTCAGAGCTCCCTGCTGAGCCAGGGAGTCTCAGCTCCCACGGCCTGGCATGGCCATTCTGGCTAAACAACAATTTCTGTAAGATCTTGGGTGCTGTCCAAAGGGCAGGGCCAACCAGGGAGAGGACCATCTAAGTGAGAACAGAGCGTGCCAGTCCTTGCTCTAATCCACTTTGTGTATTAATACCGACCGTGGCAGCTCCGCGTGCCATCACCTGCCCACTCACAAGCTCTAGCTTGAGTTTTCTCCACCAACTGCTGCTTCAGGTTGTGTAAGGCCCACTTTTAGAAAGGCCCAGGGGCTCAGGGAGGCGAAGGGAATTCCCTAGCTTGCTCACACAGCTGCCAAGTGGGATCTGAACCCTGAGCTCCTGGTGTTCCCACCATACCATGGTGCCCCCAGGGGTTTCTGAGGTGATAAGACCCAGAGTCCTGGGAAAGGTTTCAGCTCCCAGCATCATCAAAAATAAATTAACCTGTAGGTTAAAGAGAGTCAACTGGAGAACTCTAGAGAAATGTGAGCAGCATCTCCAGACATTGGTCATATTATCCACGGGACGTCTTTAAAAAATTATATATATATAATACATATATTATATAATATATACATATGTTTTAATATTTCTTTATTTAGTTTTGAAAGAGAGAGAGAGAGAGCACAAGCAGGGGAGGAGCAGAGAGAGAGAGGGAGGCACAGAATCCAAAGCAGGCTCCAGGCTCAGTGCAGAGCCTGACAGAGGGCTCGAACTCACAAACCATGAGATCATGACCTGAGCCAAAGTCAGATAGATGCTTAGCTAGCTGAGCCACCCAGGTGCCTCTGTGCAAGGGAAGTCTTACCTAAGTGGAGAGAAAGATAAGACTTGGTAGTGGGGAAAAGTTGATGGCGTGGGCAGTGGAGAAGAGAGGTGTGAAGGAAGGAAGGAAGGAAGGAAGGAAAGAAAGAAAGAAAGAAAGAAAGAAAGAAAGAAAGAAAGAAAGAAAGAAAGAAAGAAAGAAAGAAAGGAGGAAAGAAAGAAAGAAAGAAGGAAAGAAAAAGAAGAGAAAAACAAAATGGAATGGAAGAAAAAGAAAAAAGAAAAGAAAAGAGAAAAGAGCTAGCAAATAATCTGTGCTGCATTGATGGATTAAAAGACCAGGCTGGGCTGGCCTCCCGGCTCCCCTCCACCCACCCACCCACCACCTATATGAGGTAACTTCACCTTTTGTTGTTCATCTCTTCATGGGGATAAAAATCCCCGTTTTTAAGGGTGATGAAACAAAATCATGTATCTGCAATGCCTGACGAGGGCATTCAGTAACTGTGAGCCAGACGCTGTTTTAGGAGCCTCACAATTACCAACTCAAGTATTCCCCAAAATCACCCTACAGGAGGGACTGTCATTACCCTCACGCTCAGATGATGACATGAAGCCCAGAGAGGTGATATGGTTACTGGGATTACTGCTGTCATTATTGTGACAAAATGCCAAGGCAGCTGCCACCTTCACCCCAGCAACTAACTTGAGTGGAGTAGCTCTTGAGTCTCTTAAAGTCTGAAAGCATCAGATCAGAGAGGGCACAGGGGCGTGCAGCGTTCTGTCCAACAGGAGAGGGTCTTACCTTCACGATGACATCCATGGCATTCTTGTTTGCCTTCTTGGCCTCCCCGAAGGACCTCACGTTAAAGGAGCAGATCTTCAGGGCCAGGGCACTGCTGATGGAAAGGAGGAGAAGCAGGAGGAAGGTCCGTGGCTGAGGCATCCTGGTGCTCTTCTGGCCGCAGCGAGAGGACAGCGGTGTCTGGCGTGCAGGCACTAGGCCACCTCTTGAGGCTCAGCTGACTTATAAAGCCTGCAGATAACAGGAATTACTGGATTCCTTGTTGCTACTTTCACTTCCCTGAGGAACTGAAGACCATGGGTTGCATTCCCCAAGGAAATGAAGAAAAGGGACTAATCTTTGAGGAACCCCTGTCTCTGTCACTCTGGCAAGGAAATCAGCCTGCATAATTTAGGCACCATCCTCTGCAAAGTCACTCATATCCCAACCGGGAGCCAGCTGTGACATCTGGTCATCAGTCCTGTGGTGGCATGCCGTGTGCCTTTTCCTGAGAACTGGTAAGCAGTCTTATCAATTATTGACAAGCCGTCTTATCAAGTCTCAGTAATTGGATTGGAAGCCATCTGCCCCAGAGGGCAGCTGGGGTGCAGGAGCCTTCTGTGAGGGGACAGTGAGGCAGGGGTCAGAGGAAAATGCTGCCAGGCTTTCTGTCCACACTGGGATTTGGCAGCCAGCTGTCCCTGGACACACCCAGGCTCCAACTCTCTAATCACCCTGATGGGCGTTGTTAAGGTCAAGTCTAGTTTGAGTTACATAATGTTTTAAGACAGTTTTACTGTATACAGTTTAATACACCAAATACCAGCTGTGCGTTCCCAAGAAGAGCAATGTCTAGTCTGCTAGAACGGGTCAGAAAAATGTGCTTGGACTTTAAGGATGAAGAGCCAGTTGAAGCCTCTAGAAAGATCCATGATTCAGCCCGATATTACTTTAATGTTTGCAAGAGCTGTATGATCCAAGGAAGGAAGGCTTTGTAAGAACTGTAGGATTTCAACCCGAGTAAAATGAGTTTTAGAGATGTGGGCACAGAGACAGGAAGATCTGAAATGCAAAGTGCAATGAAGTTGTAAGCCCCGGTGAGATTTGCAGACTTTGGCAAGGAAAGTTGTTCTGTGAAGAAGGTGGGTAATGGGAAAAATTGGAAGCCAGCATTGGAATCCCCGGACAAACCCCCTTTCGAAGTGATGGGCGGGCGGCTGTAGCCACAGGGAAAGGCGCATGTATATCACTAACATACATCCAGCCAGCATCCTGGCCAAAATCTCTGACCAAGCACGCCCAGGCATGCTGAGGAGATAACCCCAAATAGCACACGCAAGGAAATAATGGTTTCCTGAGCCCCTGGTGAGATGAAGCTCCCTGGCATCTATGACAAGCCTCTTTGAATCTCTGGCGGAAAGGGTGGTGATTGCCTTCCCTGGCAAATAAGGCATGTTCCAACCGGAAGAAGATTTAGAATTAAGTGTGGGACATGCTTTTTGTGCCTTTTAAGAAGGAATATATACATGCATACATTTTACGAGCTTGTAACATGTGAGAGATTTTGGCCTGTTCAACTAATAATCTTTAAACTCCATCATAAAATGTGCAATTAGGGGGATGGATTTGGATTTAAGTTGAAACCTTACTAAGGGTTTCATACTAACTGTATGCACGGTTCTGAAACCTTTATGAGAATTGTGGGTTAACAGTATTTCCAGAAGTTTAATTAATTAAAATTACTTAGTATTTAAGGCCACCTGGCTGGCTTAGTTGGTGGAGCGTGGAGCCCTTGATCTCAGGATTGTGGGTTCGAGCCCCACCTTGGGTGTAAAGACTAATTAAAAATAAAAAAATCTTTAAAAAAAAAGTATTGGTATTTTAAAAGATGGCTTTTTCATTAGTTCAGACAACTGAAGAAGTTTTCAAGAAAAGGAAGTATATTAAATTTATAAAGGAAGTTTAAAATGTTTGTAAATGGGTCTATAACCCCTCAAAAGCAATTATTTAAGTTTGCGGACATAAGGTTGATTAGATTTAGCAAATAAAAACACTAGGTAAGTTTGACTTTTAGATAATTTAAATTTAATTGGGCATCCTATGCTCTGTTTTATCTGGCAGTCCTACCTGGGCTTATGAAAAGAATAAGAACTTTTATAAGCTGAGCTTAAAAGCATGACATTTTAAAAAATGTTTAATTATTTTTTGAGAGACAGAGAGTGAGCAGGGGAGGGACAGAGAGAGAGACACAGACACCGAATCCAAAACAGGCTCTAGGCTCTGAGCTGTCAGCACAGAGTCTGACATGGGGCTAGAACCCACAAACCGTGAGTTCATGACCTGAGCTGAAGTTGGACGCTTAACTGACTGAGCCACCCAGGTGCCCCAAGCATGGCATTTCCTAAAGCAATAGCAATCCTGTCAGGGTCCTGGAATAGTGTTTAGTTCCTGGTACCAAAAATAAGCTACCTGGGGGTGCCCGGCTAGCTCAGTCCATAGTGCATGTGACTCTTGATCTTGGGGTTTGTGGGTTCAAGCTCCACGGTGGGTGCAGAGATTACTTAAACATGAAATCTTTTAGGGGAGTCTGGGTGGCGCAGTCAGTTGAGCATCTGACTTTGGCTCAGGTCATGATCTCACAGTTTGTGAATTCAAGCCCCGGGTCAGGCTCTGTGCTGACAGCTTGGAGCCTAGAGCCTGCTTCTGATTCTGTGTCTCCCTCTCTCTGCCCCTTCCCCATCTGTGCTTTGTCTCTCTTTCTCTCAAATAATAAATAAACATTTTTAAAAAATAAATGAAATAAAATGTTTTTAAAAAGTAAGCTAATCTGTAGGGTGAGTCGAATAATCTGTTTTTAAAATTTTAACTTTGATCATTTGAATATTAATTTGAAAAATAAAGTAAACCTATGAAGAGTAGTTTCTGCATATAGAAACTGCCCTTAAGGACTTAAAAAAAATCACATAAACAGTCTGAAGAAATTGACCCCATTCTGTAATTAGCACATTCACCATGTGGAATTGGACTTAGAAAAAAAGAAAAAAAAGGTACCTGGATTCCAGAAAGAAAATTCTAAGCTTCAAATTTAACTGAAGCCAACTAGGTACAGGGGTTTGCTGAGTGCTTTCTGTGTTTCATGTCACTCCGTACTCCTCTAAGCCCTTACTTACTGTGCTTCCTCCATTTTACAGATGAGCAAACTGAGGTTTGCGCCCTAGGGTACACAGCTAGCCCATTGGAGCTGGGGCATGAGCCGAGTCACTCGGACTCCAGACCAGCCTTCTCTCCCACCAAACCAGGCAGAGCAAAAACCCCAATAAGGAGCAAACACTGTAGGTGAGGAACGGGGAGGAGACCAAAGTATGACTTTCACTCTTTCCTGCAGACACTTGGATATTGTTTGTTTGTTTGTTTGTTTGTGGACAAAAGCATGTACTTGTTTAGTACTTAAAAAGAAAAAAAAAGTACTAAAAGCCTTTTTTTCCCCCCTAAAGCAGTTTAAGTAATCTCCATGGCAACATGCTTTCGGTCTTTGTGCAACAGAGCCAAGCAAGGGCAGCTTTCAGCCGGCCCCAAGAGCCGCTGATAACAGGGAAGGGTCAGAGTGATGAGGCTGTTCCACAGGCCCCAGGAAAGCAGAAACCCCACACTCATGCATCCTGTGCTGGGAATGGGAGTTTGAGACAGTTTCTTCCAGGAGCCAGGAGCCCCCAGAAGGAAAAGCAAGCACTGGCCTGAGCAACGATGAACACTTTGATGTGTCCTTCCTACTGCTGCTTAGTGGCTATGGGTGACGTTTCCTGAGGTGTGTACTTCCAACCCCTACTCTGTAAGATGCTTCTAGGAGAAAGGACAAATATATATTACATCTTGGAGATTTATAATGCACATTAGCATCTTAAATGTTCTGAAAAGTCCTGTGATAAAGAAAGCTGCTTCACTGTGTTGAACAGGGAGTCCTGACTTCATTGTCTTCTTCATAGAATTCCTTTCAATGCCTCGAACAACGTCCCCCTTGGGAAATACCATCCCAATTTGGCAGGGACAATCAGGGCTCCTCAAAGCCTTATGCCCTCGTCTTTGTCAAAAAGCCCCTACTGAAGGGTCCCATGCATGTCATAGGAATGGGAAGAAATGAGGATCAGGAGTTCAGACACATGGTCTGAAACATCACCACAAGCGTCTACCATGGACCTGGGCGGGACAGGAGTCAGGGTGGGATAATACACTGGGACAAAGGATACCTCAGAATTTGAGGAAGGCAAGATGGAGCTTCCAGTGGGAGCGAAAGTGTACAGGCTGAGTAACAGAAAGTAACAACAGTAGCAAAAAGAAACAAGAGGCTTGTGGGAAAGTCTCCACTACTGGCAGGGGACAAACTGTGTGACCCAAACAGACTGCTGTCACTCTTTATCTAGCAACAAATGAGCCCTAGCAATACTCTTGCAATGCATGCAAATCACTCCGTTATCACATTTCACAGTCAGCTTCCCTCACCCCATCTGTGAGGGGAGGTGCCTTATTTAAGATTAAAAGCTTCTGCATGGCAAAGGAAATAACCCACAAAACTAATAGGCAACCAACGGAATGGGAAAAGATAGTTGCAAACGACATATCAGATAAAGAGTTGATATCCAGAATCTATAAGGAACTCACCAAACTCCACACCCAAAAAACAAACAACCCAGTAAAGAAATGGGCAGAAGATATGAACAGACACTTCTCCAAAGAGGACATCCAGATGGCCAACATACATATGAAACGATGCTCAGCATCCCTCCTCATCAGGGAAATGCAAGTCAAAACGACACTGAGATACCACCTCACACCAATCAGAGTGGCTAAAATGAGCAAATCAGAGAACTCTAGATGCTGATGAGGATGTGGAGAAACGGGCACCTCCTACACTGTTGGTGGGAATGTAAACTGGTGCAGCCCCTCTGGAAAACAGTGTGGAGGTTCCTCAGGAAACTAACAATAGAACTCCCCTAGGACCCAGCAATAGCACTGCTAGGAATTTACCCAAGGGATACAGAAATGCTGAGGCATAGGAGCACGTGTACCCCAATGTTCATAGCAGCACTCTCCACAATAGCTAAAACATGGAAAGAGCCTAAGTGTCCATCAACAGACGAATGGATCAAGAAGATGTGGTTTATCTATACGACGGAATACTACATGGCAATGAGAAAGAATGAAATCTGGCCACGTGTAGCAACATGGATGGACCTTGAGGGTGTTATGCTGAGCGAAATAAGTCAGGCAGAGAAGGACAGATAC